CCCTGAGGCAAACTATAAATAAATGTGTTATGGATCCCACATGAGTCACTTTATATCCACTTTTTTTTTTTGACAGAGTCTTGCTCTGTCGCCCAGGCTGGATTACAGGTGCACACCACCAACCCTGGCCAATGTTTTCGTTTGTTTGCTTGTTTTGTTTTGAGACAGAGTTTCACTCTTGTTGCCCAGGATGGAGTGCAATGGCACAATCTCGGTTCACCGCAGGCTCTGCCTCCCAGGTTCAAGTGATTCTCCTGCCTCAGCCTCCCAAGTAGCTGGGATTACAGGAATGCGCCACCATGCTCTGCTAATTTTGTATTTTTAATAGAGAGGGATTTTCTCCATGTTGGTCAGACTGGTCTCAAACTCCCAGCCTCAGGTGATCGGCCCTCCTCTGCCTCCCAAAGTGCTGGGATTACAGGCATGAGCACCACGCCCGGCCTATATCCACTTCTAATTGGAATGGAAAGGAATGCACTCAGCAAATCCCCAGCTGCACACTGTGTGCCTGAGGCCTTATTAATCTGCTCTACCAGATATATCCAGCCGGCATGCTAGCTGCAATCAGGACTCCTACTTGGTCATGTCTGGAGTAATCCCCTTCATTCCTTAGGCCTCATCAGGCTTATTTGCTAGACTACATGGAGAGAATAGGCAACCCAACAACACCCCGCATCCTTCAGCTCTCTAATGTTGGTGCTAACCCCACAACACTTGCAGTGCCCTCCACAAGATTCACCCTGGGACACACAATCATTTGTGATTTGGCCAGAATGGAGGTGGTTTCAGAGGTTTCCCCTTGGCCTTCAGCACAATGAGAGCCCTTACTCCACAGACTAGGGACCCAGTGTGGGGGTGACTCCAGCCGCCAGGGCATCAGTGTCAATTATGCACTAGGAGAATGGGGACATAACTAGGGCTGGGTCTATGGACTCAGTGATTCCATGATGAGCCATAATGTGTCCAGGTTTATTTTGTGGCCTCCTTAGTCCCCAACGTGATGGGGGTCATGATGGTGCTGTGGGCCTCTGGGCATCAATGTCATCTCACACCCAAAGTCAGACTCGCCCAAGTTCTCCCTATTTCCCTTTCCCAGGGTACAGTCTCTAAAGTAAATGGCTGTAGGTCCCTTTGCAGAATGGCTCAGGGAATTGACCCAGCATATACTTGCCATAGGGTTGCAGGGACCTCCCTCCTAGGAATATGGACACCTCCTCCGTCACTGGGGTCTGAATCTGAAGCTTGACTGAGATCTAGGCATTGAGAATGGATCATGATTTTGAAAAGACTGGGAAAGCCATAAGACTGTGATGCAAGTGGCTTTTTTATTTTTATTTTTTGAGTGATCTCAGCTCACTGCAACCTCCACCTCCCAGGTGCAAGTGATTCTCACGCCTCAGCCTCCCAAGTAGCTGGGATTACAGGCACACACCACCATACCTGGCAAATTTTTGTAGTTTTAGTAGAGGTAGGTTTTCACCATGTTAGCTAGGCTGGTTTCAAACTCCTGACCTCATGTGATCTGCCCACCTCGGCCTCCCAAAGTGTTGGGATTACAGGCGTGAGTCACTGTGCCCAGCCAGACTGCAATGCAAGTTTAAACCCCAGTGAAGGAGAGAAGGAAGGAAGTTCGACTGGAAGTATCCTAGACCCAGTGCAGGTTAAGAGAAGTTCAGTAAGGGTGAGCCCTGGAGCCTCAGTGGGCCTTTAAAGGAGGGACAGTCCTGCCTTTGTTTCTCTTCTTCCCTCAATTATTGAATCAAAGAAGCCCATGGCAAGTGTGGTCTCAGAGCACATGTAGCAATAGATTTTATAGCAGGTTCTTGTCTGAATTCACTTTCTTGCAGATAGGACTGAGGTCCCCACTTCCTCGCTGGCTGTTGTCCAGGGGCCACCCTTAGCTCCTCGAGCCCTCTCTCAGTTCCTCACACATGTCCCTTATGACATATCCAATCCTCCTGCTCGGAACCTCTGGCCTCCCTGATCTGTTGTGTCTCCTCTGTCTTCCTCCTCTGCGGCATCAGAGGCAACAAGCGGCAACAGCTGCAGCATCATCAGTTGTGCTTCCTCTAGCTGAGGGGCTGGAATGTGCATTCTCAAGACTGCCACAATGATCCAGTGGGGAGAAAGGACAAAGGGTGATGATAAAAGAGAAAAAAAGGTATGACCTGATGAACTGATACCTTTCAGTAAATGAGAAGGGATGATGTTTGGGACACCAGTAGAGGGACTGGCTCTGGCTGGGAGCAGGAAGGTTAACCCACAACAACCATCCATGTGGTGGAAGGCCCAGCATGCAGCGCAGCTGGAAATGCAAGAGCAGATGGAATCTGTGAAGTTGTCTTCTAGTGTGTTCAGTTTTCTCGGTGAAGTAGGAAGCAAGGTCATTAGCTGAAGTAAGAATGCAGATAGAGGGTTGGATGTGTGAGCAGAGAGAAGGTGTGTGAGAGTCACCCAGGCCAGGAGGAGGCTGAGGGTGAGCCATGCTGGGAGAGGGTGATTGCTGGCCGTGGTAGGGGGCCCCCATGAGGTGTGGGTCATGAAGTTGGAGAGAGTAGTCAGTGTGCTGTGTGCTGCTCTCCAGCCTCCTGCAGCTCATGGGGGCAGGTGCAGTGTAGGCAGAGGTGGAATCCACCAGCTGTGTAGTTTTGCCAAACAAGTGTAACAATACAAGGGAGGGGCAAGGGAGGGATGGAAATTATTTACAATAGAATTCAAAATGGTTGAAGAGGGAGGAGAGGACATCAAGGGTGAGGGACAGGGAGTAGATGGCAGGATCACTCAGTTGGGAATCCCAGGGTGGGTGGAAGGATTGTTGGAATTGATGTACTATAGGGCAGACTCCAAGCCTGGAAAGCAGGCACATAGGCAATGAGTGGTTCACTGATATTACATCACAGCATATGATCAAATGATAGTATCTGTGTCCTCAGAGCCTGTGGCCTCCGTGCAAGGGGATGAGTGGAAAGATGGTCAGAGAATGGGAAGTGTGAGATTGAGAGTATGGAAGGGCTGGGGTTCTTGGCCATGATGAGGCCTAGGGATGACAAGGGCATGAGATTCAGGCAGAGAGAGGAGAAGGTCATGAAGGAGAGGAGTTCCAGCATCAGAGAAGCCAGAGGGCGATGCATCCTCTCTGCTGTATTGGTGTCTATTGCTGCCATAAAAATTAACACAACTCAAGTGGCTTTAAACAGCATCTATTTGTCATGCCACAATCATGTGGGTTACAAGTTCTACAGACTCATGGGGCTAAAATCAAGATCTGTGTTCCTTCTGACTCTGAGGAAAAATCCACCCTCAAGGTCATTCAGATTCTTGTCTGAATTCACCTCCTTGCAGATGGGACTGAGGTCCCCACTTCCTTGCTGGCTATTGTCCAGGGGCCACCCTTAGCTCCTAGAGCCCTCTCTCAGTTCCTCACACATGTCTCTTACAACATATCCAATCCTCCTGCTTGGAACCTCTGACCTCCCCTTTCTACTGTGTCTCCTCTGCCTTCCTCCTGTGCAGCATCTGACTCCAGCCAGAGCAGCTTCTCTGCTTTTTAATGGCTTGTGAGATTTATTCAGGCCCACACAGATAGTCCAAAATTATCTCGCAGTTTTAAAGTCCTTAATCTTCATCACATCAGTGTTGTCCCTTTTGCCATGTAATGTAACCTGCTCCAGGGTGCCAAGAATTGAGATTGGACATCTTTGGGAACCATTACTCAGCCCATCACATCTGTGTATGTTGAAGTCACCAAGGATCAAGGAGATCAAGGATCAAGGATTGCTGGAGAGGGCAATAGTGAACCAGGAGCTACAAGAGTCAGGGCTGAGAGGAACGGCCTGCAGCCCACAGGGAATGGCTGCAATCAGGGGAATGGGGCCCAAATCTGATGACAGCTTAGGGGACTTAGGGATGAAGGAGGCAGAAAGGTTGAAGAACCACAGTGAAGAGTGAGGATGCCACCCCACCTCTGGGCCAAGGGTACAAGGTCCCTGTGGAAACTCCCCCATGTGGGAGGACTTTGGACGGGGCCACATCCTCTGGGAGACACAGACATCACTGGAGCTGCGAGGTGCAGGAACATCTGAGGCAGGATGTGGAGGTTTTGCTGATCATGGGCTGAGAATTCCCGGGGGCACAGCGGGTAGATTTCTGGATTCGGGAGGGGGTATGGGGAGACAGAATAGGGGTGTGCGGAGCCTTGTGGGGATGTGAATGCAGAGTGTTTGGGGGACCCAATGTGACTGACACCAACAGGGAAAGGGCATGAGGAGCTCAGTCCTGGTGGACTCAAGGCAGACAACGGTGCTAAGGCTGTGGGAGACAATGGAGGAGGCTCAGGGATGGCTCTCACCTGGGCTCTGTCCATGGAGGTGAGGACGGTGAGACAGTTGGGCCTTAGTGCTGTGTGGACTTCTTCTTGTCTCCTTGATGACTGAGTGAGTGGAGGGCCTGGAGGTAGAGGGGTCTTAGAGGATTCACTCTTGTCCCTGAGGGAGGGGGTGACTCACTCCAGGTCTCAGGTCTGCACTGACACTTTTCCTTTGTGGCTTGGGGCTGCCTACTGTAAACTATTGGGGATTAGTCCATTTTGGAGTTATAACCTAAAGCAGAGACTCAGATGGTTCAAATGTCCTTTTCATGAAGCAATGTTATTATATGCATATCATTTAGATTGTCTTGCAAAAGTCTCATTTGTTGTTTTTCTAAATGCCTGTCAATATTGTTTTAAAATTTACAAATGTGATAAATGTATCCTCAATGTTAATTGGTTGCAGGTTGTTTAACCTTATATGTATAGTTTCACATGTACATAACAACAGTAGTTTGGGCCTCTTATATTCTAATAATTAAGACTTTAAGCTGTGTCCACATTGCAATGCAAGTATGTGTCATGCATAACCCTAGCACTAAGAGACAAGAGGGAAAGTCCCTCTCCCCTAAAATTTTAGGAAATTTCTGGGTTCTTTTTCCACTGAGGGGGGACAAGTCAGCTAATGAGGAACATGAGGTCTTTGGCCTCATCTAAAGATGCTTCAGCTACCAGCTGTGAGAAGCACCGCCCACCAGGAAGGCCTCCCCGCCTGGTTCCTGGACCCTTACACCATGGCAGCGGCCATCTTCCCTCCCAGTGCAGAGTGATATCCCGGAGAGTGATATCACTCTGCAATGGGATGTGAATGCAGGGTGTTTGGGGGACCCAGTGTGACTGACACCAACAGGGAAAGGGCATGAGCAGCTCAGTCCTGGTGGACTCAAGGCAGACAACGGTGCTGAGGCTGTGGGACATGACGGAGGAGGCTCAGGGATGGACCCTTACACCATGCCTTACACCATGACAGCAGCCATCTTCCCTCCCATTGCAGAGTGATATCCCGGATAGTGAGCTGGCTAGCAGCTGTCCACTCTCAGGCAGTTTTGCCTTCTAAGACACAGGTTTTTGTCTGAGGACCTTCTTGTTTTCAGATGATCAAAACTGGGGCCATCCACTCCCTTCTGAAGCACTTCTGCCCAGTGGCCTGTGGCTGCGCCCCCAGTCACAACAGGACACCCCTTCAGAACACGCTGCAGGAAGCTGACATCTCTACACAGGCTCACACATGCAGTGTGTGCACGGAGCTTTGGTTCTAGTTCAGGAAGAATGGGAGGAGGCTCACTAGTCCAACAGAGCTTGAGGCTTGTACCAGTTCATATTCCAGGAGCCAAAGTTATAAGGGATACAAAGTGCCCAGACCTACCAGAGATGGCAAATCCCTACAGTATCATTCTGGGCCAGCAAGAAGAGGGAAAGAGAAATTACGGTCGTACTTCAGATATATTGCAGGTTTGGTTCCAGACCATGGTGACAGAGCAAGTCATACAAATTTTTCAGTTTCCCAGTGCATATAAAAGTTATATTTACACTTGACTGTAGTCTTTAAGTGTACAATAGCATTAAGTATAAAATGAACTATGTACATTCCCTAATGTAAACCTACTTTATTGCAAAAAAATGCTAACAATCACCTGAGGCTTCAGCTAATCCTAACCTTTTTGCTGTGGAGAGTCTTGCCTCAATGTTAATAATTGCTGACTGATCAGAAGAGTGGTTGCTGAAAATTGCTATAGCAATTTCTTAAAATAACACAATGAAGTTTGCAGCAAGATTCTTCTCCTCACTTGGACACTTAGAAGCCATTGTAGGGTTGCTAACCGGCCTGCCTTCAATATTTCTGTGTCTCACAGAACAGGGAAGGCCGGGAGAGAGAGTGAGTCAATAAACCAGCCAGTTGATGGAGAAGTCACAACAGTTATCAATAAGGTTCACCATTTTATAAGGGTGTGGGTCATGGTACCCCAAAACAATTACAAGAGTAACTTCAAAGACCACTGACCACAGGTCGCCATACAGGCATAATAATGAAAAAGGTTGAAATACTTCAATAATTACCAAAATGTGACACAGAGACATATAGTGAGCACATGCTATTGGGAAAATGGTGCCAAATAGCTGTAGGTTATTTCCAAACAAAGGACCTAGCCACTCTTCTTTTGTAATTTTTTTTTCACTATTGTAATTAATATGCTTATACCTAAAGATCTTTCCAGATATTGGATTTGGTTTTAAAATCACAGATTTATCAAATATAAGTTATTAGGTGAAAGGGCATGAACATTTTTAAGCCTTCTCATACATATTATCAAAGTGCTTCTCAAAAGCAGTGTACCATTATATTCACCCATTTATTCAACCCATATTTATTGAGCCCCGTCTCTGTATTTGGATTTCTAGGTGCTGGAAATCCAAGTGGTGACTAGACAAGGTCCCTGCCCCAAAGAACTTGTTTCATTGATACAGACAACAAATGAAACAAATGAAAACAATTCTAATATCAGTGATAATTGTTACGGAGAAAATATGCTTGAGCTAGAAGATTGATGGAGGTGAGAATGGTAGGAGATATATTTTGTTGATCAAGATGTTCCTGAGAATTTGACCACTGGACATCTGAGCAGAGACCTGAATGGTGTGAGGGGCCTTTGGATCCCTTTGGATCCCTGGGGAGCAGGTGCATGTGGGGAGTTCCAGGGGGAGGTGCCTAAGACAGGATTGAGCAGTGTTAGTGGAGATGAGTGAGCTGGGCTGAGAGGGGTGGGATAAGGCCACAGTGGCCAGAGGGATCCTGTGATAAGTGGCTGTAGGAAATAGTGAAAGACTGGGGTTTCAACGTGCTAGGAAGGGAAGAGGCTGGAGTGTCTGTGGGATGTGGTGGTGAGGATGAGTTCTAATTCCCATTTGAAAGACTTACTCTGCCTATTGTGTGGGTGGTGGACAGCGGGCATGAGAGTCAGCAGGAAGCTCGGCTGGAAAGCCCTCTGGTTTACTATCTTGGAGAGGATGGCTCCAGTGAGAAGACAGTAGAGGAGTGAGAAGTTATTGGATTTGGGGTTAATACATTTTTAACATGGTGTTAGCAGTAACTCCATGGAGAACCACACATTTATTTGCTTACTTTAATTCTATAACAACATTCGAGGTGGCTTACTGCAACAAACCCAGTGTAATAAATACATACGAATTATTTTAAAATCAACACTAGGGAAAATAAATATTTTAAAAGATTAAGGCTGGGGTAAGGCTAGAACATTACTAGGCAAGAAGGAACATCTGAAACATTTGCTGAAATGGAGTTATCCGTTTACCTAGCCATAGATTTGTTGCCTCATGATTTCACTGCATCTGAGCACCACGGAGCGGGGCCAGATTTGTTGCCCATGATTTCACTGCATCTGAGCACCACGGAGCGGCGAAGGTGCAGGTCACTAGTCCCTTGTTTCTGATTCAGGAACAGCATCCTGTTCTACACTTTGTCAAAGGAAATTACATCATTATAAGATGTTTAATGATGAAGTCAAAGTCCACAGAGTCAGCAAGTAAGTGTAAAAACCTCATGAGTCCAAGGAGAGTCTACATTTCTCCCCGGAAACGGCTCCCACGATGCGCCTCCTTGAAGGGAGAGCTTGTCCTTTCAAGGGGCCCCAAGATGCAGGAGCAACTGGCCGCAGCTCAATAAAGATGCCCTTCTACCTGTAGTTCCACGAAACTCACAGGCAACTTTCGTGATCTCACCCGAGCTACGAATTCGGTTTTTTGATGTTGATTCTCTTTGAGCCATTGTGTGAGCTTTAAAATGTGATGTGGAGATTTTATATACTGGTAATTCTCAAGGGAATTTGACATCCATGGTGGCTCTGAGTTTCTGTCTGGTCTCAGGAGGAAATGAGAGTGTCCTGCAATTTTTTTCAGCATCTCTTTGTGTAAGAAGGATCAGGAGACTTGGAGTCAAGGGCTCCTCCAATCTCACTCTCCTCCATAAAACAGTGTCCCGTAAGCTTTCTGGGGGTGAGGGCCTTGACACTGTGCTGTTCTGATGAATATAATTGTCCCAGCTCCTGAAATAAACCAGGTGCACAAAATACCGACTTTGCAAGCAATGCCAAAGTGGGGATGTTTCAGGGCACCAGGTTTATACTTGTATGTACACACACAGGAGCCAGGCATTGTGGTTTGCGTCTATAATCTCAGCACTTTGGGAGACTGAAGCATGAGAATTGTTTGCAGTTTGTTCAAGACCAGCCTGCAACAAAGTAAGACCCAGTCTCTACAAAATAATACACACACACACACACACACACACACACACACAGAGTGTGCACTAGTCTGTAGTCCCAGCTACTCGGAGAAGCTGAGGTGGGAGGATTGCATGAGTCCAGGAGTTGGAGCCCGCAATGAGCTGTGATGGGGACACTGCTCTACCTTGACCTCAGAGTAAGACTCTGTCTCAAAACAAACAAACAAACAAACACAGCCAGAGTCAGCTGAGGAGAGGCTGGGACTCGGGGTGGCAGCCACAGGCATTTCTCAGGTCCTTCCCCAGTGGCCTTTGTCTCTTTTCCTGGAAGCGGAGGAATCTGTACTCCATGAGGGGAAGTCCTCGAAGAAGGCGGGGAGATACCAGGAGCAGGGTCCAGAGAGGGAAAAGGATGGAGAAGGGAGACAAAGAGGAGGAGGCGGGGCAAGAAGGGAGCATGTGAGAAATGGGAAGGGGGAGGACCTTTCCAGCTGTCAGGTAAAAGTCAGGCAGAATTTGGCTCTTGGTTTTTGTGTTTATAAGAATGATTTAGGAACCAGCCGGAGTAGAGATAAGGAGTTCAATTTTTGCAGAGGACATGTGAATCTCCTCCTAGTTTTGAACTACTGGCAGCTGACAGCCAGGACTCCTTGTGGGGTAATGTGACACCCCCTTTGCAACCAGGGTATTTTCTGCACTCCCCACCAGCCGCCCCTCCTGGGACAGTGCTGGTCCTCCAACCCTAACAGGAGGGAAGGAAGGAGAGGTCTGAGGCTTTGGTCCTCCCTTGTGCCCTTCTTCCTCTGCCTCTTTATTCCCCTGAGTGTCCTCAGCCTTTCCTCTGCTACCAGGACGCCATTCACAGCAAAGCACACATCCTGCACACTGGCCTGGACTCCTTTGGTGAACATCCAGTGGGTTCATCTTGCCCACTAAATACCCAGGACAAACCGATTTACCAAGACAGGAGAATTGCAACAGAGAAAGAGTTATTCATGCAGAGCTTCTCCGCAAGAGAGACTAGAGTTTTATTACTCAACTCAGCTCCCAAAACTCTGATCAGCTTTAAGGATGATTTGTGAGCTGGAGGGCCAGTGAATCAGGAGAGCTGATTGGTTGGCTCCTGGCATGAAATCAGTGAGGAGTGGCTATTTCTCTCAGGCTGAGTCAGTTCCTGAGTGGGGGCCACAGGACTGATTGGCAGGTCCAGATCCGGCCGTCCAGTTGTTAGAAATGCAAAAACCTGAAAAGACATCTCCAAAGGCCGCTCGGAGGTTCACAATAGTGATGTTGCCTACAAGAGTAACAGGAGAAGTTGCAAATCTTATGACCTCCGGAATAATGGCTGGTAATATTTAGAATTCCAGCCCATCTCATCCTAACTTAATGGCCGGTAGCCTTTCTTCGTTTTACAAGAACAGTTTTCCTTCAAGCTATAAACTAAATTCTTCCTAAGGCTGTTAGTTCAGCCTAGGCTCTAGAAAATGAAATCAAGGGCAGTTTAGCAGTTAGAAGCAAGATGGGGTCAGTTAGGTTTGATATCTTTCACTGTCATGATTTCTCTAGTTATAATTTTGCAAAGGCGGTTTCACCTTGGCTTCAGACCCACCAATACACACATCACTGTGCCCTGTCCTTCCAACCACTGCCATCAGGTGGAAGCAGAGCGAGCATCGCCCAGATGGGCTAGGATTCTGCCACAGGCTCACTGCTAGAACGAACATTCTTGAGACTTTAGATCTGAAAGTCAGCCTGATTTCTGAAAAGCCTCTTTGACTGGTTCCAAAATCAAATCAATACTCCAGAACAAGATCTGCCCCTGACTCCTTTGTCTCCACTCAAGGACGCTATGGCTACGCAGTTTTCAAACGTGCTTTGAGAATACCCGAACGGGTCCCTGTGTCCCCACTCATTTGCGTTTTCCTTTTATTACAGCCAACCCTTTGTAAATATTGTTACATATCCCTTTATTCCACTGGAAAACATCTCTTCCAAAGGCACTTTAAGAAAGATTCAATGCCATGAAAATAGGAAGGATCCTCTTGAACGAGAGTTTCTGGTGGTGGGTTTTAATGAACATTTTAGTTTTTAAAACTCTATAACTATTTCCTTGCTGTAGGCTTAGCCTCATATTTTCAACTGAAATATTCTCTCTCCTTAACCTCCACATAGATACAAGTTTATAATTTTTATTATCTTAAAATTTTATTTATTTTTCTGTTTTGGGGACAGGGTCTCCTCCTGTCACCCAGGCTGGAGTGCAATGGCACAATCAGAGCTTACTGCAGCCTGGAACTCCCCAGCTCAAGCGATCCTTCTACCTCTGATTCCCAAAGAACTGGGATTATAGTCAAGAAAACACTGCAATCCACCAAATCTAAGTTTATACTAAAAGATAAAATTTCAACATTGTAGGGGATTGGTCAGGTGGTGGGAATAATTATAAAGTTATAGGAAATAGACACAAACCTTCTTGGAAGGCAGAAAGTTTTGCAAAAGCCTCAGGATAGGGTTGACTGAAAATCCTCACCTTGGATACCGCCTATCCTCTTACCTTGGAGTTAATAGCCTTCGAGTAGGTACAAAGACATGTAAGGGAGTTTAAAGAGCATGTTTACTCATGTGGTCCTAAGACCAACCTTTGATCATTTGTAGTACTGCTCTCTCCGGGGGACAGCGACTAGATTAATTACCCACAGATGTGTTGACTCAAAGCCTTGTCATTGAATCTGTGTTGGAATAGCACATCACAGGCTGTTGAGCTGAGGGTACCAGCTGCTTACAATCCCTTCTGTGAGTGGTCTGACTCCCTGGCGACTCATTCACTGAATATTGTGTCTGAGTATGTTATTCATCCATCATGTAGAAGTTTGAGTCTGCTGGTCAGACCTCAGCACAACATTTAAGAGGAAATGAAAGTCACAAAGTTATCCCAGTCTCTGGAGTCACTGTCAAAACTTTCATGAGGAATCTTCCAGGTTTTCCTCACTAAAATATATATTAATATTATGTAAGTGGTATTAGAGGCATTTTCACTCCAGGGCCGAGTGCAGTGGCACAATCTGGCTCACTCTAACCTCTGCCTCCAAGATTCAAGCGATTCTCCTACCTCAGCCTCCCAAACAGCTGGAACTACAGGCACCCACCACCACACCTGGCTAATGTTTGTATTTTCAGCAGAGACAGGGTTTCACCATGTTGGCCAGGCTGATCTTGAACTTCCACCTCAGATTACATGCCAGCCATAGCCTCCCAAAGTGCTGAGATTATATGTAACCTTAAAAAGGTTAGAAGGAGGTTGGTGGCATCTTTCAGCAATGCTTAAAATTGCTCTTATTCTTTTAATGACAGCATAGAATTTTATCGCGGTATTGTTCTTTGGGAGACGATTGAAATCTTCTTTATCTTCACTGTGGTAATGGAGATGGGGTGTGTACATAGCTAAAATTCAACAAGTTGAACATTTTAAATAGATACAGTTTATTGCATGCAGTATGCCTCAATAAGATGATTTAAAATATTATCCCTTTGAGACTTGTACTTTGCTTATGTGAAACAAAACAAAACAAAAACCTTGTTCTTGTGCCCAGGAGACACACCCTGACACGTCTGGAGGTAGAGGGTCATGCTCTCCGCAACTTACCCTCACAGGCTCTGAAAAAGCAATAATAGCATTATATTTACAGATTCAGAGAGAGAAAGCTTATGGTAAAAATGTTCATAAGTAAACTAGATAAAGGGCAAAACAAAAGAAACAATGAAACTGCGCTTTTTAAATTTTATCTCCGGCCGGGCGCGGTGGCTCAGGCCTGTAATCCCAGCACTTTGGAAGGCCGAGGAGGGCAGATCACGAGGTCAGGGGATCAAGACCATCCTGGCTAACACGGTGCAACCCCGTCTCTACTAAAAATACAAAAAATTAATCGGGCGTGGTGGCGGGCGTCACTGTGAACTCCGGGAGGCGGAGCTTGCAGTGAGATCCTGCAACTGTACCAGCCTGGGCGACAGAGCAAGTGACTCCGTCTCAAAAAAAAAAAAATCTCTCCTTGACTTTTCTCTCCCCTTTCTTCCTATCTCTTCCTCCTTTCCTCAACGCGTCCCCCTATCCTTCCCTCTTTTCTGCATTCTCTGCATTTGATCCTGTGTATTCCAGCCTCCAGGCCAACAAACGGGTCCGGCGGCGCCCGCCGGGGGCAGGTCAGGGAAGGACGCGAGGCGGCGCTGTCACTGCATTCTGGAGAGCCGCAGCGACTCCGCTCCCTTGTATCATTTCACTGAAGGTCACCCAGTTCCTTGATGGAGGCCACACTTGCGTAAATCAGATCCCCTACTGAAGTGGTGGGACCCTGAGAGGTTTTTCCTGGTCCCTTAGTTGTGGGTTTTCCCTGCGGGCGGTAGAGCCTGTTTCCATCAGAACCGCCCAGAGGCGGGCCTCTGCCTTCCAGGGGTGGTGGAGCAGCAGGAAGCGTTTTCGGATCCTGGAATCCGTGGGCGGCCCGTGGAGGACTGAGGCGCATTTCCCTACTCATCCGGATCCGAATCCGCCGCAGTGCTGTTTCAAGCGAGTCAGATTCCAGATCGCGCTCCAGCCCGGACTCGAATTCCTGCTCTGCGGGTCTGCATTTCACAGCGGCAGGTGTGTGAGTGGACCCGCAGCTGGAGACCAGCTCGGAAGGCAGCTCCGCCCTCCCCAGCGCCGTTATTCCGTTTCTATATCAGTAAACACGTTTCGTTTTCCAGACCAGGCGGGTGACGGGTGATCCCCGTAGTCCTCGCAGTGAACTCCGGGCCGCAGACTTGAAAACGCTTGCGGGCAAGGCCGGGCGCTGTGGCTCTTGCCTGTAATCCCAGCACTTTGGGAGGTCGAGGCCGGCGGATCACCTGAGGTCGGGAGCTCGAGACCAGCCTGACCAACATGGGGAAACCCTGTCTCCACTAAAAATACAAAATTAGCCGGGCATGGTGGTGAATGCCTGTAATCCCAGCTAGTAGGGAGGCTGAGGCAGGAGAATCGCTTAAACTTAGGAAGCAGAGGTTGCAGTGAGCCGAAATCGCGCCATTGCACTCCAGCCTGGGCAAAAGTGAAAACTCCGTCGAAAAAGAAGAAAAGTAAGTGAGCGCAGCCTGCCCGTTGCGTAAGCAACGCTGGGTCGCTTTCTTTTCCGACTCTGCAGTGGCGCCAAAGTCTGCGAGAAGGAAATTGCCTCTATGCTCGTGAGTGCATGGGGTATATATGCAAGTGCTGGGGGAGAAAACGTAGTTGATGGGGGCAGAGCAGACGGGGCTGGTGTGGGGTGGAGGGGGAGGGCTTTGGACAGAAGACCTGGGGGCTTGGTGGGGAGGGATTGCCCAGGCCTGGGCACCAAGGGGCTAACTCCTGAGGCTTGAGACCACTACCTCCCCTAGCCCCGGAGAGGACTGGCTTCATGTCTCCCTGAACCACTTTTAAAATGCCTTTAGAACAAACCTTGCATATTCATTATTTTTATTGAACTATTAAAAGTCTTTTTTGGCAGTGAGCTGAATGAGATCCCTTTGCTGGAGCTGCACAGGAGAAGGTCCTGGAGGGAGGGTGGTAGACACTGTGGAGGGAAGGGCTGGGTCCATCTCCTCTCTGTCTCTCACTAGACTTACGATCTCTTCAGCAGTGGAAAATAATCTCTGAGGTGGGGAAGGACCTCAGTCCCTGCTGTGCTCACTAAAATTATGAGGATCAAAATAAATTATCAGTGAATGTGGGAATGGGAAAAACTAAGAAATTGTTAAAATTCTCAAATACATTATATTTTAATCCACAGAAAAGTATAGGCTAGGGATCATGGGGGACTAGTTAGTAATGACAGGTATACTTTAACTTAAAAAAAAGTTTGTGAGGTTGACAAAGAAGAAATGGGCACATTTCCTGATCTTGGAGGGTTCATAGGGTAGAAGATGGTAGGTGACAGCTGGGTGTGGTGGCACTCACCTGTAGTCCCAGCTACTCAGGAGGCTGTGGTGGGAGGATTGCTTGCGCCCAGACATTCAAGGCTGCAGTGAGCTATAATCATGCCCTGCATCTCCAACTGGGTGACAGAGCAAGATTCCTCTCTTTAAAAATTTAAAAATTTAAAAAGATTCAAGGTAGGGTACAGTGAGTACTATCAGGAAGAAACCACAGGCTAAACTACTAGTAGTTCTAGGACTTGGACTATACATTGGAAATATGTAGGGAACTTTAAAGGATACTGAGATTTAGGTCCAACTCAGGTTTACTGATTTAATAACCTAGGTTGTGGCTGTGGCCTGGGAACACGGATATTAAAACTTCCAGGTGGTTCCACGCAGTGGGCTAGGTTTGAAAAACTACTGCCTAGATGTCCCAACGACTAAGAGATGCGCATTGGGGACAAGGCAATTCTCTTAGTAGAAAGAGGCTTTCCGGACAGCATTCTTATTACTGAGAATTGAGAATTCATATGCCACACCCATCCTTTAAAGTGTACAGCTTAGTGTCTTTTAGCATAATCACAAGGTTGTGCCACCATCACCACTATCTACCCTGAAGATTTTTTCTTTTTTTTCTTTTTTTTCTTTCTGTTTCTTTTGAAGGCCAGTCAAGTGAAACAGTGAGTAAGAAGAAACAAAGATCGTCTGTAACTGATTGTAATCAATTAGTTGTAAACACCACTGCACTCAGAACAGCCTAACTGGGAAGATTTTAAGGCTATGGTGCGGTCTGATGGGTTCCAAGTCAGAGGTGACAGTAACCTGAAGAGGGGAAACTGCTTGAGAAGGGCATCCTGTGGGATAGGGGTGATGAGATTCAGAGCCCACTTTTACTGCAACCCTGGGGAGATGTCACCAGAGAAATGGGGGTGGTGCCAGACAGCAGGTTGTGGCAGCTGTGGTTTCTAAGGGATAGAGTAGAAGCACCCATCATGTGTGACATTCAGCAGAAGGGGCGCTAGGGTAGCTTGGAGCACTCTGGTTGTAACCCCGAGGCAGGCAGTGCTTAGGGAAGCCTGTGCAGTAATCTAGGCTGAAGGGAGGGGAAAGCCTAGACTAACATTGTGGCTGTGGGATTGAAATAGGATTGGAGGAGCTGACTTTTTGATCTCTGGAGATGAAGGGGAAAGAGGAAATCAGAAGGGACCAAGGATGGTGATGCTCTTAAGAGAAACTGAGGAGGAAGAGAGGATGATGTGGTGGGAGATGTGTAGAGAGTCCTTGTAGATCTGACACATTGAAGGGGACTATGGTCCCAGAGGTATAGATGTCTCTAAATCAGGCTGGAAAAGGAGTCTGAAAGAGCTTGGTAGTGAATCATGGGGGAGCTCTCTCGTTGCCCTGGGTGGATCACCCAGGGACTCATTAGGAGAGGCGTTCTGGAGACCACAGACACTTAAAGGATATAAGGGGGTGAAAGGGGGCCTGGCTTGAGTCAAAGGGAGGAGAAGGAGATTATAAAGCTGAAACGTCTAAGAGAGTTTGTGGTCTGAGCTGTTCTACTGGGGCAGGTGTTTGAGAGGCAGAGGTGGCTGAGATCTGGAAACAGGTCTGCAAATCTGGTCACTAGTCTCATTGCCAGTGACACTGTGCGTGGTTAAGGGAGTGTGTTGGGAGAATAGCCACGCGTTGTCTGTCCCGGAAGGAACAAGCCAGTGAGAGCCGGGTCTGGATGGGGCGGCCGGCGAATGGGGCTTGGTGAGGCCCGCGCTCCTAGGGGTGGGGGTGTGGGGATGGGTGGTCGCGATGCCGGGAGGGCGGGCAGGGCCCTGGCCGTGCTCATGAAGTTGGAGCTGTACTCTCAGCTACTGAAGCCTGTCCCCTGCTTTTAAGCTGAGGCTCCCGCGTGCTCCTCTTTCTGGGCGCCAAGTCCTGCCTTCTAAATCTCCCCAGGTCTCCAGCCCACTGGAAGTTTCCGAGCGGCCCCGCCCTCTCCGCTCCTGATTGGTCCTAAGTTCCGGGCCCCAGTTTCATTGGATGAGCGTCGGCCGCCAGGTGATTGCTCAGCCGCGCCTTCCCCGGGATTAGCTCAGTTAGCCCCTGCTTGAGCCGCTGAGAGGGTGGGGACGTCGGGGCCATGGACCTGGGCCGGGTCGTGTTATTTCTGGCCAGCATGTTCCTTTTTGTAACGTCCGGGAGCTGCTGGCCAGGAGTGCTGTTCCTGGCGGTCCTCGGCGGGGAGCAGGAGCAGCGGGGCGTTTCGGGGGTCGGGTGGGTAGCGGCGAGCGCTGCGCTGTCAGGGCGGGGCTAAGGTGCGCTGTCGGTGGTGCGGGGGAGCTGAACGCGGCTGTTGTCGCCATTTCTAGGGTGTCCTCTGCCCTCATCCCCTGCCTCCCGCCACCGGTCCCTCCTGCCTCCCTTTATGGGGCCTTTCTTCCACAAGCAGCCTTCACCCAGTGCTGCCCCCTATGCCTCCCACTCCCAACTGTCCCTGACCCTAACTTTCTGGTGCTGCCTTTTTTCTGGGGGTCTTCCCTCCATCCCACTCCTCCAGGCCACCAAGGAGCCCTGGTGCTAATGGCAGCTGGGCTCAGGCAGGGCACAGGGCAGTGCAATGCCCTCCTCTCAGTGCAGGTGCCTGTCGGACTCTGGCCTCTACGGTGGCTCCCTTCCCCACTCCTTCCATCCTCAGCCTCACCCTTGAGGACCCCACCTCCAGCCCACAGGTGCTGAACCATCCCTCCCGGTCCCTCCTCCGCCCCTCTCCACCTTGGGACCTTTGCACGTCCCACTTCTTGCCCAGCTGCCTTGGGCTCCTCAGCAAGTTCTCATCTTTCCTAAGCCCCACCCTCCTCCTATCCTCACCTACCTCAAGTTCTCCACAGTCACTCCTGCACCATGGTCATGCCGCCTCCAGTTCTTGCTCTGCCCATCTCCCCTCCCCCCCAACACAGACCTAATACAGGCTGTTGGGCCAACTGTTCCTTGACCTTCATTCTTTTCTTTTGGTTCCTTGACCCCAGTGGGCTCTCACTCCCTACACCACATACCTAAAATCTGTTTTGCCTGCTTGCAGTGCCACTGTTCCCCCTCCAGCACTACTCCTTTTGGCAGGCCCTTCCTCAGGCTGAGAATCTCTCCCTCTACCTTTGGTTTTCTCCTCTGGCAGCACTCCCACTCCCTTGTTTGTTTTTAATTTTTAACTTTTTGTTTGGGTACATGTAGTAGGTATATATGTATATATTTACATGGGGTACCTGGGGATATTTTAACACAGGCCTACAATACGTAATAATCACATCAGGGTAAATGCAGTATCTATCACAACAAGCATTTATCCTTTCTTTGTGCTACAAACAATCCCATTATGCTCTTTCAGTTATTTTTAAATGTACAATAAATTATTGTTGACTGTACTCACCCGGCTGTGCTATCTACTAGATCTTATTCAAACTATATTTTGTACCCATTAACTATCCCACCCCCCACTACCCACTACCCTTCTCAGCCTCTGGTAATCATCATTCCCATTGTTCTCCCCATGAGGTCAATTGTTTTAATTTTAGGCTGCTACAAATAAGTGAGAGGAACATGCAAAGTGTGTCTGTCTGGGCCTGGCTTATTTCACTTCACATAATGACCTCCAGTTCTTTGCCAATGACGCTATGGCTGAATAGTACTCCACATACACACGTATAACTACATTTTCTTTCTTCATTCGTCTGTTGATGGACACTTGTGGTTGCTTGCAGATCTTGGCTACTGGAATAGTGCTGCAATAAACATGGAAATGTAGACAGCTGTTTAATACACCCATTTCTTTCTTTTGGGTATATGCCTACCAGTGGGAGTGTGGAGCACATGACAGTTCTATTATATTTATATTTTTGGAAGAACCTCTGCACATTGTTTACAGTGATCAGATTTAGTTCCCATAGTGACTTGATCAGTTTACGTTCCCCACCAACAGTGTGGACAAGTGGTTCACACATCCTCACCAGCATTCCTTATTTGCCTGTCTTCTGGATAAAAGCCAGTTTATCTGGGGTGATGTTGTATTTAAGAGTTTGATTTGTCTTCATCTGATGGGCGATGATGTTGAGCACCTTTCATACCTGTTTGCCATTTGTATGTCTTCTTTTGAGAAATGATTATTCAGATCTTTTGCTCATTTTAAAATTGGATTATTAGGATTTTTTTTTCATAGAGTTGTTTGAGCTCCTGTATGTTTCCAGTTACTGATCCTTTGTCAGATGAATAGTTCAAAATATTTTCTCCTGGCATTCTTTAGATGGTCTCTTCATTTTGTTTATTGTTTCCTTTATGTGTGTGAAGCTTTCTAACTTGGTATGATCCTACTTATGCAATTTTTACTTTGGTTACCTGTGCTTGTGGGTATTACTTTTAAAAATCTTTGCCCAGTCCAACACTGTAGTTTCCCAGTGTTTTCTTCTTATAGTTTCATATAGTTTATGGTCATAGATTTACATCTTTAATCCATTTTGATTTGATTTTTGTATATGGTGAAAGATAGGGTCTAGTTTCATTCTTCTGTATAGGGATGTCTAGTTTCCCCAGCATCATTTATTGAAGAGACTCTCCTTTGCCCAAAGTATGTTCTTGCACTTGTTGGAAATGAGTTTACTGTAGATGTATGGATTTGTTTTTGTGTCTCTATTCATTTCATTGGTCTGTGTGTCTGTTTCTATGCCAGTATCGTGCTGTTTTGGTTACTGTAGCTCTGTAGTATAACTTGAACTCAGATGATGTGATTCCTCTAGTTTTGTTCATTTTGCTCAGGATAGCTTTATCTATTCTGGTTTTTTGTGTTCCATACATTTTAGGATTATTTTTACTATTTCTGTGAAGAATGCCATTAGTGTGTTGATAGGGATTGCACTGAATCTGTAGATTGCTTTGGGTAGTATGACATTTTAACAAAATTGATTCTTCCAATCCATGCACATGGAGTATGTTTTCTATTTTTATGGAATATTCTCTTCAATTTTTGCATAACTGTTTTTGTTTTGTTTTGAGATGGAGTTTCACTCTTGTTGTCTGGCTAGAATGCAATGGAGTGATCTTGGCTCACTGCAGCCTCCGCCTCCCAGGTTCAAGCGATTCTTCTGCCTCAACCTCCCAAGTAGCTGGGATTACAGGCATGTGCCACTGTGCCTGGCTAATTTTGTATTTTTAGTAGAGACAGGGTTTTACCACATTGGCCAGACTGGTCTTGAACTCCCAACCTCAGGTGATCCACCTGCCTCGGCCTCCAAAGTGCTGGGATTACAGGCATGAGCCACCACACCCAGCTACATCACTGTTTTATAGTTTTTATTGGAGAAATCTTTCACTTCTTCAGTTAAGTTTATTCTTCAGTATTTTATTTTATTTGTAGTTACAAATGGTATCTGCTTCTTTGATTTCTTTTTTCAGATTATTTTCTGTTGGCATGTAGAAATGCTACAGATTTTTTACTGTTGATTTTGTATCCTGCAACTTTACTGAATTTGTTCTTCAGTTCTAATAGCTTTTGGTGGAGTCTTTAGTTTTTTCCAAGCATCGGTGACCACAAGATCTGAAACAAATGATAATTTGACGACTTCTTTTCCAGTTTTGATGCCTTTTATTTCTTTCTCCTGTCTGATTGCTGTAGTTAGGATTTGCAGTACTGTGTTGCATAACTGTAAAATTATCATCCTTGTCTTATTCCAGGTCTTAGAGAAAAGGTTTTCAGTTTTCCTCATTCAGTATGTTAATAGCTGTGAGTTTGTCACAAAGTATATGACTTTTTATTATATTGAGGTCTGTTCCTTTGTATGCTGCATAGAGTTTTTATCATGAAGGGATGTTGAATTTATCAAATGCTTTTTCAGTGTCTGTTGGAAAATGGTGATGTATTTTATCCTTTTATTCTGTTGATATGATATATTACATTGATTGATTTGTGTATGTTAAATCATCCTTGCATACCTGAATATACATTCCACTTGATCATAAAAAGAATGATCTTTTAATGTATTGTTGAATTTGGTTTGCTAGTATTTCTGACAATTTTTGCATCATTGTTCATCAGGATATAGGCCTGGCAGTTTTTTTGATGTGTCTTTGCCTGGTTTTGCATCAGATATTCCTATTTTGTAAATGAGTTTGGAAGCATTCTTCTTCTGTTTTTCAGAAATAGCTCTGAATAGGACTGATATTTCTTGTTCTTTAAATGTTTAATTGTGTAAAGTATATTACATAAATTTACTGTTTTAACCACTTTTAAGTGTATACCTGTAGCAAGCTAGCTATCTACACTTTTGTGCAACCCAAACCTTCAGACTACTAATCGGCACCCGCATTCCTCGCTACCTCTGGCCCTGTTAACTACCATTCTACTTTTGTTTCTATGAATGTGACCACTCTAGATACCTCATTTTATGAATCATGTAATGTTTGTTGTTTGTCTTTTTTGTTTCTAGCTTATTTCACTTATAATACTTTCTTTGAGATTCGTGGCACAGTGGCTCATGCCTGTAATTCCAGCATTTTGGGAGGCTGAAGCAGGTGGATCACCTGGAGCCTTTGAGTTCGAAACCAGCCTGGCCAGCCTGGCCAACATGGTGAAACCCCATCTCTACTAAAAATACTAAAAGTTAGCCAAGTATGGTGGCAGGTGCCTGTAATCCCAGCTACTCAGGAGGCTGAGGCAGGAGAATCGCTTGAATCTGGGAAGCAGAGGTTGCATTGAGCTGAGATCAGGCCACTGCACTCCAGCCTGAGCAGTAAGTGAGGGAAATCGATCTCTAAAAAATAAAAAATAAAACAATAATAATAATATTTTCGAAGTTCATCCAAGTTGTAGTGTGGGTCAGAATTTCATTCCTTTTAAAGATGGATAATACTCATGATATGTATGTACCACATCTCGGTTATCCATTCCTGACAGTGACACTTGCTATTTACCTCTTGATATTGGCAAATATTTCATTTCTTTTGGGTATATTTATTTATTTTGGGTATTTTTGATATATATCCAGAAATAGAAGTGCAATACACAGGCCTTCATTTTCTCTACCTCTCTGCCAACCTTGCTCTGTGTGTGTGTGTGAGAGAGAGATAATAGCCATCCTGATTGGTTTGAGGTGGTATCTCATTGTGGTTTTGATTTGCATTTTCCTAGTGACTACTGATATTGAGCATCTTTTCATGTGTTTATTGATCATTTGTATATTTTCAGTAATCATGATATTTAAGTCTTCTGCCCATTTTTTTCCACACATAGCTTCTCATGGCTACTTTGCCCATTTTTTAGGTGGTTGACTGTTTTGTTGTTTTTGTCAGACTTTTTTACATATTCTAGAAACTAACTTCATCGGATATATGACTTGCAATTTTTATTTCATTTCAGGGTTGATTGCTTTTCACCTGTGCCTTTGATGCACAGATGTTTAACATTCACAGTCCAGTTTGTCAGTTCTTCTATTCTATCTGTGCTTTAAGGCCATATCCATGAAAGCACTGTCAAATCCTTGTGTCATGAAGATTATCCTCGATGTTTGCTTCTAAGAAATTTTTAGGTTTTAGTTCTTTGGAGGTAGAGTTTAGGTCTTTGATTCATTTTGAGTTAATTTTTGTATATAGTACAAATTAAGGGTCCAATTTTTGTTTTATTTGAACAACCAGTGCTCCCCAGAACTATTTGCTGAAAAGATCAACTGACTCTCTTTGTCACCTGGTCACCCCGTGGACACTAGCTGTTCCACCCATTTGCTGTCCTGGGGCCTTGTCATGCCACTCCTCCACTTTGGACCCAAGCCCACACCATTGCTCCTCCTGATACTGGACTCCCACTCATAAGCCCTGGGGCTACAACCTTCCTACCCTTGTGCCTCATGACCACCCTCCCTTTGCCCCGCCATGCCCATGATGAGTCTTTTCTCGAGGCAGCTCCCCTTGCCTCCATCTCACCCTCACCTGTGCACCACAGCCACACTGGACATGGGTCCCCCTGAGCCTGAGTCCCTTCCCATTCCCCCGGTCCCCTCCTGGCAAGACCTTCCTTCCACCACTGCCTCCCCTTGCCCCCTTCAGGGCAGCCTCCCACCCCATGGCCCCTATTCCCTTAGGGGCTTGTGGCCACCCAGTCCTTGGCACTCCGCCTACAAGTTTGCCATCTCCATTCCTCCTTCTTCTGTTCACAAGGTCCCCCTCCTCTGTCCTCCCACCTCACAGTTTTCTCTTGTATCTGAAACTGCTCTTGTCCCTGTTCGTGTGCATTTCCTGCCTCCTCAGGAAGCTTGGGACAGCAGAGCTGTGTGTTAAACATCGATGTGAAATTACTTCCAGGAAGAAGCTCTATTCAGATTTCCTCTTCCCCAGAGCTCCACAGTCTTCAAGTATAACGCCGTGCTGTCCCGGGATGGATCTGTGCAGTCAGGGTTTCTCGCTGAGGGACATCTGATGAGTCAGCCCTTCCTGCTCTATGATGGGCAGAAACGCAGGGGCAAGGCCCCAGGACAGGGCAGAAGATGTCCTGGGAGCTAAGACTGGGACACAGAGACAGGGGACTTGATAGAACGGGAAGGACCTCAGGATGACCTCCTGGCTCATATCAAAGGCCAGAAAGGAGGTGAGAGTGGGCAGCGGGGAGAGGCTTTTTCCAGAAAAGTTAGGGGGAGAGAGCAGGGACCTGTTCCTCTCCCACTGAATCTGGCCTGGGCCAGGGGGTGACAAATGGGGGTCAGTGGATCTCAGCAGGGAGGTGAGCCGCACCAACCCACACAGGGAGGTATGGAGAGGGCCAGGGAGGGGTACCCCTGGGCTGAGTTCCTCACTTCAGTAGAAAGGTGACGGTTTCGGGAATGGAGAAGTCACTGCTGGGTGGGGGCAGGCTTGCATTCTCTCCAGGAGATTAAGGTCTGTGAGATCCATGAAGACAACAGTACCAGGGGCTTGCGGCATTTCTAACATATACAGCCTTTCCTCTCCCAAAACCCGAGACTCAGGAATGGACAGAGCTCCAGTCCTCCAGAGCTCAGACCCTGGCTCTGAACATCAGGAATTTCTGGAAGGAAGATACCATGAAGACCAAGACACACTATCGCGCTATGCGGGCAGACTGCCTGAAGAAACTACAGCGATATCTAGAACTGGGGTGGCCACTTCAGAGAACAGGTACCAACCCTGGCCAGGGGCCTCTCCCTCCAATTCTGCTAGAGTTGCCTCCGCCTCCCAACTCTGTCCAGGAAAACCCTCCCTGTGCTATGGATGCTACTCTGTTGGCATATTGTGTCCTGATTTGCCTCTCCTGTTAGAGCCACTGGATAAAGACAGTGAGTCAGGGACTGAACCTTCCAGTGTTGTAATCGGGAAAGCGGCGGCCCTCTGACCGAATCCTGAGCCTGTGGCGGGTGTCAGGCAGGAGAGGAAGCCTTCAGGCCAGGCTGCCCCCTCTGCCTCCCAGCCTGCCCATCCCAGAGAGTTCCCTCCTGGCCCCACGACCCAGGAGTCCACCCCAACATCCCCCTCCTCAGCATCAATGTGGGGATCCCAGAGCTTGAGGCCACAGTCCCAAGGCCCATCCTCCTGCTGGCCTGGAGTGAACTGGGCCCCCAGGGTGAGGACAGACTTGCAGGTCAGGGTCCTGAGGGTTTAGCCAGAGTGGGGAACAGTGGAGAGGAGCAGCCTCTGTTCCCTGCATCTCCCTTAGAGGAGCAGGGCTTCACTGGCTCAGCCCTTCTTCTCCAGCGCCCACGGTGAACGTCACCCACGCGAGGCCTCAGAGGGCCACATCACCGTGACATGCAGGGCTTCTGGCTTCTATCCCTGAATATCGCACTGACTCAAGGCCAGGATGGGGTGTCTTTGAACCACGACGCCCAGCAGTGGGGGGATGTCCTGCCTGATCAGAATGGAACCTACCAGACCTGGGTGGCCACCAGAATTCGCCAAGGCGAGGAGCAGAGGTTCGCCTCAAGCACATGGAACACATGGAATCACAGCACTACCCCTGTGCCCTCTGGTGAGCCTGGGGGTGACCCTGGAGAGGGTCAGGCCAGGGTAGGGACAGCAGGGACGGCTGTGGCTCTCTGCTCAGTGTATACTGGTTATAACTTTTTTTCAGGGAAAGTGGCTGGTGTTTCAGAGTCAATGGCTAGATGATTTCATATGTTCCGTTGCTGCTGCTGTTGCTGCTGCTGCTGCTGCTTGCTGCTGCTATTTTGTTATTCTCTATGTCCTTTGTTGTAAGAAGAAAACATCAGCTGCAGAGGGTCCAGGTGAGTAAAGGGAGTGCTCTGGAGATGGTATGCCCCTGTCCGGCAGTAGAGTCCCCCATTGCTCCTGCAAAAAATAGGTGCATGTTAAGTGGCAAGGTTCTGGAACAGGGGATGGAAGTTGGGGGAATTTGGGAGGGATGGAGCAGCATCTCCATCTACACCGCTAAGTTCTTCCCAAGCAAGGGTCAGATGTCCAGCTGTGGCCTCCTCCTGCTGCAGGTGAGCAGTGGGCAGCAGGGGACGGCTGCGTGTGCCTGCTTTGTCCCCATGCTGGTCTCTGTGTCTCTCAGGCTCACTAGGGCGCATCCAGGTGGTGTGAACTGGGAATCACGTGCTGATTGCTAAGGGCCTGGATGATCACGGCCTCAGAGGGAGCAAATAGTAAAGGTGGCTATAATCTGGGGAGGGCCAGAAACTGGAGAGGAATCTGAGAGAGTATGGAAGCCCCTAGTCCCTTCCTCTGCATCCTCTCCCCTATTTCTGCAGCCATCGTGGGTGGGACACCCAGAAAAGACCTTGTGAGGCCCAGCCTGGGGGCCTCCTGCCTGTGTAGCCCTTGAGACCCTCAACAGAGAGGGTCCTGAGCACATGGCCATCTCTGTCCACTTTGCAGCTCCCCACACTCCTCCAGGAGCTTTCACAGGGTCCTCTGGGCCACTCAAGGCCCCGCTCTTTCCAGGTTCCTACCGCCTGGCCTCCCAGAGCTCTCCTTGCAGATGACATGATGAGTAGATAAGCAGATGTTCCTGGGCCATTTGAGGAGCGGGGCCCAGCCCCTCATCAGGGCAGCTGTGGTCCCTGTTTCTCATCCCACCGGAGGTGTTTTCTTCTTCCCAGTCCCTGAGGGACAGTCCCCAGGGCCTATGTTTTTGGGTATTTGTTATGTGCCTGTGGCCTCACCTTGCCCTCCCTGAGCCACCCTCTCTTTCTCAAGGTAGTCACTGCCTGGTAAGTTTGGGAGGGTGGGACGGTCAGAATCATTTCCGCAGTCAGGTTGCTTGGCTGGGGATGAAAAGAGACAGCAGAAGTTTTGTGTTTCTGCAAAGACAGAAGCAGTGCAGGGGACAGTGAGAGGCTGGGGTGTCCAGGAGACCTGAGTCTTTCCCCACTTCTGTGTGTCTAGCGTTAGGGGCGCTGGTTTCTCATCCTTGAACCTAATTGCGCTGTCAGTCGGTCTCTCAGGCCTATGACAAGATTCATGCCCTGCCCTGCAGCAAGAGGGCTCCCGGCTCCAGGAGGCACCCAAGGCAGGGCAGCGCAGGTCTGTGGTCGCCTCTGCTCTCACCTGTGTTTCCCCGTGAGAGGAATTGTCGGGTTCTGCCTCCTGTGGGCAGAATGGTTTCCTCTTAGGTCACTGGGTTTTGGGCCAGGAAAAGGGTATGAAGTTCATGCCAGTTTCTCAAAATTCCTGCTTTCAATGTTGATGTCCAGTAAAGATATTCATAATTTTAGCTCTGTAATCTTAATACGATCAATATTGTAAAGCATATTATATGAAACAGGAACTCACCACAAAATTCCCAAGTGTATGTCCAATAAAAATGTTCATAAATTTCAGCTCTGCCATCTTAATAGGATTTCTCTAATACTGCTGTTGGTTATATTAAAATAAACAGGAACTCAAATTTGGAGCCTCTCCAGGAGGGTCTGTGGGAGATGGTGGCTGTGGCAGTGGCAGTTCCCAGGTGCAGAGGGTGGGCAGAGGCAGCCTCAGGCTAAGGGGTGTCCGCTTACCTCCATGGAGAAAATGCCTTGTAGGCTGAAAAGGGCAGTGGCCTAGGTGAATCCCTGCTAGGGACAGAGCAGGAAGGCCTCGCAGCTCACCAAGCAGCAGCCTGGGGTGGGAGTAAGTGGACCAGGCAGGAGCAGTGGTGACTCAAGAGCAGGTCACAGGCCTCGGTGGGTGCTGAGGGTCAGGAGAGGCTAGGCCTCTCAAGCAAGGTGGGGTTCTCAGGGTCAGCTGTGTGCAGATCCTCTGCAGCCACACTTTCCATGCTGGGCCTGCTGGGCTCCCCCCAGCCTTCCTAATGGGGTTCCCAGTTAGGAGCTGTCTGCTCAGGGCTGGGAGGGGAGGAGCACTGAGCTGCAGATAGAGGGCAGAGCCCACAGTGGGCGGGGCCTGCCCTGGTGTGCAGGTGCCTCTGCAGGAGAGCAGGGCCTGGGGACTGAGAGTGGGCGTGGGCCTCTCTTGGGGAGGCCTCGCTGTAACAGGACTGGTCAGGGTCTGAGAGGAGGGGAAGGTGCTGGGTTCCCTCCTTGGGTCTTGTCCTTTAGTCTTGTGGCCCCTCTACCTGCACGATGGGTGGTGGGCAAGGGAAGCGGGGCTGATGTTGATGAGTGATGGGAGGGAACTGGCAGGAGCTGGGAAAAGCAGGGAGGGAGGAAGAAAAAAGTAGGGGCCTCATCTTCCCTCAGAGAAAGGGGGAATCTGGTTTTGGAGCAACTGAAGAGAGAAAAGTCCCTTAGAATAAAACAGAACACTGCACCCAGTGAGCATTTACCCGTTTCCCTTTCTCCAGAGCTTCCGGAGCTCGCGGACCCTGGATCAACACCGGTTGGGACGGGAGATCACAGGATGCCACACAGCTTGATTTCAGCCCTCTGATGTCAGCTCATGTGGGTCCACTGGCTCCACTGAGGGTGCCTAGACTCTTACAGACAGGCACGGGATTCAACTCCCCTGCCTGAATCTCAATTAGTAGCACTTTCCTCTGTTTCCTGACCTATGAAACAGAGAAAATATCAGCACTTATTTATTGTTGTTGGATGCTGCAAAGTGTTAGTAGATAAGGAGGTTTGGCAGCTGTACCATATTAATTGGTTCATTATTTCTAAGCTGTTTTTGTATTATTATTTTTTTTTTTTTTTTGAGACAGAGTCTCACTCTGTCACCCAGGTTGCAGTTCAGTGACACAACCTGGCTCACTGCAGCCTCCACCTCCCGGGTTCAAACACTTTCGTGCTTTAGCCTCCCAAGTAGCTGGGGGTTATGACACGCACCACCATACCCGGCTCATTTTGCATTTTTCAGAGACAAGGTTTTGCCATGCTGGCCAGGCTGGTCTCCAAACTCCTGGACTTATTGATCCGCCTGCCTCAGCCTCCCAAAGTGCTGGGATTACAAGTGCATGAGCCACCGTGCTCAGCCTATTCTTATTACATTTTAATTTATTTATTTTATTATATTATCCCTGTGCCTGGCCTATTTTATTGTATTTTTAAGATATTTTAATATATTGTGTAGTAAATGGCTATCGAGGAGCTTGCAGTGAGTGTTCGGTAATGACTCTCCTGACCAGCCCAGGACCAGCTTTCTTGTCACCTTTGAAGTCTCTACCCCATCACACTGTTATGCATTACTCTGTCACACAGCGATAATTTTATACCATAGATGTTTACTCTTTAAAGCAGACATTTCTAGTCTCTTTTATTTCATGCATCTGGGAGCGATATGTGAGGCTCAGGGAGAGCGAGAGGTCTGTCTCAATGCCTTGGTGCAGCGTGAACAACCTCCCTCCCCTGTCCCCTCTCCCTCAAGCACTCCCGATGACTGGAGCAGATCTACAGCAGAACAGAAAGGACTAGGGAGGGATGGAGGTGGGACATCTGGCACCGACATTCAGGGACTGACCGTGTGGGGGAACATCTGCCCTGAAGAGTTGGAGTCTTCCAGTGATGACACAGAGCTGAAGTATGACACTGGGGAGTGGAGTAGAGAGGAGAGCTCATGGTTTTCTGATTTTGAAGAACTCAGCCAGTCAGGTTCTACAGCACTGCTGGGGAGTGTGTGACTGAATTAATTAAGAATAAATGAACCAGGAAAAAGTGGACATGTAAGAGGTGGGTTATTCCTCACCTTGTTTCTTGATGCCTCCTGACTGCTGGTGCTGGGACACAGATGTGGGTGATGCACTTGGTCAAGGCAACCTGAGCCCCACCCAGGTAAGGTGGTCATGGCAGACAGCATCAGGGTGACACCTGTGAAACAGACTCAAGGCAGGGATGGGAACCCTCCTTGCAGCAGGAGTGGATGTGGTGACCTGCCCTGAAGCAAGAGAAGGATGAGGGACCCTAGCTGGGCCCTGTTTCCTCCAACTGCCTGGGTTCATGAAAGCAATCAGTAAGGAGTTTGAGGTAGGGAATCACTCATGTGCTACTTATTTATCCAGAGATGTGTCTTACCGACATTTTCTTTTATGTTTTATTCTAGGTTATTATCATAATACTTGTATTTATGTTATAGCATTAATAGTCTTATTTATATTAGTTAGGCAGTTGTCACTTGTTGAATCTTAGTTCTCATTAGGTATAAATTTTCAAATTCATTTAAGTTTTTATTAATCAAAGTTTAATTGTCCATGATTTAAAACATCAAATATTTGCATAGGATTTCTCTAGAGAAACAAGTCTTCTCTGCCTCTTCTCAGCTTGCCTTCCAGAGGCAACAATTTCGCAACATTTTAAGTAAGTCTTCAACTTTTATCCCATGTCTAAATACAATTCTTTCATTAATACTGCTTGATTTTTCAGTTGCAGCCATTATCTGTTGCACAGCACAGTGGTGAATGCAGTAGTTAATTGTACCTGTTCCCTTTCACTCTTCCCATTCTTTCATCTTCCCAATGTATTTCTATAGTAATTATGTTTAGTTCAGTCATTCCTGTTTTTCCATGACTCATTTTCCTCATGTCAGCTTGACCACTTTTCTCACTTCCTGAACATTTGTTTCTTCCTGGTAGTTAATACTTCTGCTTTTGTTTTGTTTATTTTATAAATAGCACTCATTAATGCTGATATTTCTCTATTTGTATTACTCTTTTTTTTTTTTTTTTTTGAGAGCAGAGTCTCACTCTGTTGTCCAGCTGAAGTGCAGTAATGCAATCTCGGCTCACTACAACCTCCACCTCCCAGGTTCAAGCAATTCTCCTGCCTCAGCTTCCTGAGTAGCTGGGATTACAGGCATGTACCACCATGCCCAGCTAATTTTTGTATTTTTAGTA